ACAATAGATCCTAAAAACAATAGATCCTAAAAACAATAGATCCTAAAAACTAGATATTCTGAAAAACGGATCTTACGTTGACATTTGCATTTGCGTAATCACATTCACACGTTTTAAATGCAGTGTTTTTTGAGCTACTATCTTATTTTCACGTTTTTTAATTAAGAAACAAACATTAGAATGCATCATGGTCCTTCCAGGTCATTTTGATTGGCTTGGTCTAGCTTTTGGCGCGAAACCTTTACTTATTGGTTTTCTGACAAATGTTTTGTGCTGGAGGAGGTTTGGGGCACACGAACGAAAGGTTGTTTACTAGTCTAGTCTAACTACTTCCCTTCACACATGCGCTCAAAAAAGACTATTTAATTTTCAAGTATGACTGCACACAAAAGTGAATAATATTTTGAATCTTTGCACTATTTGATGACAGGAATGTGGCAATGTGTTGCCGCCATTGGAGATAAAGCCTTTTCGTTCTTCCTCAATGCCATGGCCAGTAAACCAAGGACAGCGGAACGTGAAAAAGAACTGGAAGAGCATGCGCAGTTCTTGCTAGTCAAATTTAACCATCTGTTTAAAAGAATTCGCCGAGTTGCTGATAAATACTTGTCGTCTCTTGTTGATAAGTAAGTAGAAATGGCTTACTCACGCGGCGGCCACGTTTATTCTCATCAAAATAAAAACCTTTGTTTCACCAAGTAATTTAAGCCATCCGCAAATTACAGTGCTTTCCAACCATGCACGTGTTAAATCGTACAATTTTTATCGCGACTAAATGGAGTTTTAAAGGACGTCAATCGAAGAGTTTCCATGGCATTGTCGAAATACAATAAGGTTTGAAGGACGCTTGCCTATGGAATGTCATGAAAACGCCTAGATAGACGTCACCGTCTTTTCTCTACGACTGCAAGTTGTACGATTTGGCGCGTCTGTTTGAAAACTACCCTAAACTGGCTTTTTTCCTAAGACTTTAAAATACCGAGCGCATTAGGTTTTCCCTAAACATTGATATGGTAATTCCTCTCTGAACTAATGTTTGGGCATGGTCTGCTGTTACAAATATGCATTCTCCGAGTCTTATCCTTGAATACGTACTAAATATTTATATATTGTTGTATTAAAGATTCCCGCATCTGTTATGGAATAGCACCGTACTACATTTCAGTCTGGATTTGCTGCATACATTGTCACAAACATTACATCAACCTGTGAGTATACATGTTAGTCTTGTCCCCCTAGCTTGGCTTGTTTTCAAATTATAAGGCTGCGTTCATAATGTATGGCAGAGGGGGAGGGGGGAGGGGGGGACAGGTGAAATTGAGGGGGATCTGCAAAATTTTGGTAGGATTTAACGTTTTTAAATATGTTTTGATCGTTTTTGATCTTAGAACGAAAATCACCAAGTCATGGAAGTAGTCGTACCAGGGACATGCTATAAGCTGATGGTACATGAAGAGATTGATGGACGTGAAGGGACAGTGATGGACTTTGCTGCGCGCTGCAGTGGTATTTTACAAGAGGCTATCAAGTGGGCACCTGAGGCCACACGCTCGCTATTGCAGGTTAGTTGACAAGACTCGTGTTAAAATGAGCAAGGGACAGTGATGCAAGGTTTAGGTACCATGGATAATGCACGTCCAGAAACCCCAGGACTACTTTTCCATTCGCTCAGCACGATGGAATAGTTGTGTAGTAGAAGCAATGCTTCTTGATCAAAGGCTTATTGAAAGGTAAACTCTTAGAAATAATAGAGTTAGCCGTCGTGTCTAATATGTTTGGGACTGAGGCTTGTATGCAAAAAAATCTGAAAAGGAAACCGGAAAGCTGAAGTTTGTAAAAAGAGGGTTCGCTATCTGCTGCAATGAAAACTCGACTATTTCATTATAAGGCCACCCCCTCCCCCAAGATTATGCTAGTTTTTAGTTATTGTAGTGGAGCCGAGAATAATGTGAAGCGTGTACTCAGTAGATCTTTCATATTTCCATGTTATACAGGATTACATAATGGCGAGAGAGCACGATTCTATGTCCTTATCACATCACACGGGACTTGCCTTAGCTATGGAGAATATCATCCAGAACGCAGGACTAAACCAGTTTTCTGCGTCACTGAGCGCAACAACTCTAGTGAAAAGACCAGGCTGTTTTAAGAATAATTGTGCTGAAGTGTCCTCGGGATTGACTCTCAGAAGTAAATATGTTGGTGAGGTAAATGATTGAAATAATTCGATTCGTCTGTCTGTTTTTCTGTTTGTCTGTCTGCCGGTCTGTGTATCGGTCGGTCGGTCGGTCGTTCGGTATGGACTGGATGACTTGCTGGTTTGCTTGTTTCGTCACATACCAACAATATTTATCGTTCAGCTTACTTGACTAACAGTTCAACGTTTCTAGGTTATCGGTATGAAGGAAGCTCTAGCATGCCAGACAGGGAAAGGGGAAGTAACCCAAAATTTATGCCAAATTCTCAACAAACAGTTGACAGATAGTGTTGTTGCTGGTGGTGGAGAACCGTTTACAGCTGCCATTTTTAAAGCAACAGCAGTGATTGTTACTACTAAAGGTAAGCAGTGACGCGTCATTTGCCTCTGACTGACCCTATGCTGAAACTGCGATGCCTTCATATGAACGCTAATGATAGTAATGATAATATTTAAAATTTGTAAATATTTGTAAACTATTGTGTGGATATAATATCGAGTCTGCTGTATTTTGTCGAGCTCGACGGGGCGACACGAAATACAAGGAGAAAAAATGTCCACCCGTATTCAACCCTAAAATGTCTAATTAGTTATTTAGTATACAAAAATAAATTAATTAATGAATACAATTTCTTTTGTAGTTAGATGTATAAGCGTTATTATATTAATAAGTTATCATTCTAGATTTAAATTATTCACTTTATTCACTTGTATAGTATCTTTGTTGTTCCAAGTCACTATTTGGGGGTGGCACTTTTACGCATGAACATTCATTAGTACTCATCTGCGTTTACCTAGTAACTGTTTTCTTACTTTATTGTGATCTTCAACTTTGCAGAAGTAAATAGGCAGTTGATACACAATGTGTGTTGGTGTCCTGCGCAGATCTTCACTGAAGAAGCCATGTCTACTGCAGTGTCGTGCTGGGAATGGATTCTTGGAGCAAGAAAGGACCTCGAACTTCAAGTATATCTTTTTTTATATTATTATTGTTTTAATGAATATATATTCCACGCAGTAAAGTCCCAGTATGATGTGTAGACCAGTGTACGTGGGGATGGTATGGTGCATCGGAGTATCTTAGTTTTTCCTTTTTTAAAATCACGGCCAACATGCTGTGACACGCAACGACAATTTTTTGCGCAACATGAAAGTTGTTGTCGTGTGACTTCGATCTTTTCTGTGATAGCGAACATGGTGAATTGTGGTCTAGCTTGGGTACAAACATCTTGTGTTCATCATACCTTATATGGTGTTGTTTATACCGATTCTAGACCACAATGCATTCTGTTTATAAATCTCAGAAAAGTCCCAATGGCGTGAATGTTATAAGTTTTAACGATAACTTGTTGCGGCAACATGTTGCAGGCTTTTGAACGACCTGTAAAACTCACAACATTGTTGCCGTCGGTTTGTGTTGCCGCGCTTACCGTGTTCACGACACGAGGCCAACTTTTCATTAACGCAACAGTATTGCTCTACAAACCGTTTCAGTTGTAACACCTTTTAAGGTGTTAAAAATCCATCAAAAAAAGACCAGCAAATGTTTCGTTTTCACTTCCAAATTCGATCAATACTTACGGCTGAAATTCGATTTTTGACGACCAGGATTTTCTCCAAGTTTTCATTAATGGAGAGAACGGGAACTAGAATAACCAATAAAAGGCGTCCATGCTTTAGTTGAGTTTGTTAAAGTAAAACACAATGAACAACATATTGGTACTTTGTTTTATTAGATTCTGAGCAAGATAAGTTGGGCGTGGCAGTGGACTGTATGTCGTCGGGTGGGTCTTTTCTCACGCGATCAAACATTAGAAAGCCCCCTGGCGTCATTTGAGGAGAACAAAATCATACCTTCACCTCCTGCAGTTGGTGCACATGATGTCTGGATCAAGTTCCTTGCTCAGAGATTTGAGATTGCCAAGTACTATAGTTCAGATCAAGTAAGACTTACACTACACTACACCACACCACACCACACCACACCACACCACACCACACCACACCACACCACACCACACTACACTACACCACACTACACTACACCACACCTACAACATTACATTACAATGCACTTGCAATACACTACACTACACTTCACTACACTACACTACACTACACTACACTACGCTACGCTACGCTAAACTACGCTACGCTGCGATACACTACACTACACTACACTACACTACACTACACTACACTACACTACACTACACTACACTACACTACACTACACTACACTAGACTAGACTAGACTAGACTAGACTGCACTACACTACACTACTCTGCACTAGACTGCACTAGACTGCACTAGACTGCACTAGACTGCACTAGACTGGTGCGGCGTTGTGCAAGTTAATGTTAACCAAAAT